CATCTCTAATATATATCCAATGGATTTGTTTGGGACCTAAACCCCAAGTTTTACCACATTGAACATGTCCATGACTTTCAATATCCTTGAGCGAAACCTCGTGAAAGTAGATAAAGTAAGTTCAAAACTCAATTCCTTTTCCAAGTGTATCAAGTTTATATGTAAAATGAGATGCGGAACGAGGAGTGATCAAAGCAAACAAAATGAGTAAGTAATATGTCCTAATTGTATTTATTGCTGCGTGACTTGTATATATTAATTAAAAATACTTATATAACAAATACATGAAATATATATATATATCACTCTTTAATCTATTCTATTCACTCGTAAGTATACAAACATATTGATTACGGTTTATAAATAAATAAGTTAGTTGTTGTGTAACATTAATTATCAACCTATGGAATAATAATTTACAATCTTAAAATTAACTTGTTCACAGAACTTACTTATATGATATATCATAGATATATGGGACCAAATGTCACCGGACCCGAAAGAAACTTCGAAGGAAACTCAGCTTGAAACCATTTCTCGAATCGACATCGAGCTTCCAAAGTCGAAAAACTCGAGCATCAAATGTCGACTCCACGAGAGAAAATGACCGTAGCTCGTCTCCTGAAAAATCCATCAACCGGTGACTTACATTTTACTTAAACGAATTTAACTTTTAGGAAATTACCTTCCTTTGCGAAATAGTATGCTTAACTAGCATATCGGCAAGAACAGACGTAGTAATACCTTACGCTGCTAGCCGTTTGCGCATTTTGATTTCAAAATGCTTCGAAAACCGTAACACCTACACCAAAAACCACTCACCTACCCTGTTATGAATTACTCTGTATCTTACAAGAGGCTATGTACAAAAAAATATACAACTCCTAACGTAAAATGTGCAGAACGTACAATCAGTCGTACAATGTACAGTGAAAAACGTGCAGTGTACATTGTACAAAGTCTTGNAATTCATTACTATTCATTTAAAGTAGAACTCCTGTGAATGATATCTGTATTTCATTTCATAACGTATGTTTCGAATACAAACTGAGTAGAGGAAAGTATCATCTGTATAATTCAGTGTTCATGTAAAAGTATTTGTTTCAAAAGACTTTTTTTTTGTGTAATTCAATGTTTATATAAAAGTAGCTGTTTCAGGAGGGCTTTCTTCCAGTTAGTGTCTGAAAGTTGCTTCTTTGCATGATCTACACATCCATGTATAGAGTTACTTCTTCTGAAATTGATTTCTTCCTTCCTTTCGAAAGATTTTTTTTTTCGCGTAATTCAATGTTTATATGAAAGTAGCTGTTCCAGAAGGGCTTTCTTCCAGTTTGCGTCTGAAAGTTGCTTCTTTGCATGATCTACACATCTATGTATAAAGTTACTTCTTCTAAAATTGATTTCTTCCTTCCTTTTTTTGGAAGATTCCAAAATTTTTTCGTACCAAGATGGAGTAGAGCCAAAATCTTTCTTTCCCAAGATGATCATCCTAATTCATTCAGTAGTTTTTGTCCACTCTAAACAGATATTCGGAAAGGTGTTTCGAGCTTTGAGCGTAAGGATAGTTCATTTTTTCCGCTCATAGATGAAAATAAACTGAATTTTCCCTTTTACGTTTCCACCATAGGCAGTTTAGTGTATCGAAATAGTTAATAGAAATACTAAATATGTATTATTATTGTTATTACTAGCGACCCGCCCCTCTGAGGTACTACCCACTGAATATTCTGAAGTCCCATCTAATAATTTTAATGATCTCTCTATCAGAGGTAGTAATCAAACTGAGAAACAATCATATCTCTGAAAAGTTGTATAATATTATCGTTACTCTCTAGCTTTGCTACCACAGTGAAGGTGAACAACTCGGGAGCGCTTAGCATATTCCACGTCGAGAAGAAAAAAAAAGACATTATAAAAATGAAACTATATGGTTGTTGCACGTAGCACGAAGAAATATTTCTTGATATTAATTTTGACCTTTGCGACTATGGGAGAAATGATCTAGCGCGTTCTTGCGTAAAACGAGGAATTGTTTTCATCGTTATCGAAGCAGAAATTTACCGGGGGATACAAAGTATTATTTGTAACAGTCAAGATATTACACAATCTATAATATGATCGAATATCTAATGTACTATTTGATTAAATAAAGGGCTCCCTATTTTTAAATTCAAGTAAAACCAAGTGTGTGTAATATATCAGAAAATCCCACAAAAAAAATCTAACAGGGTCAAATCATACGATCTTGGAGGCCAGTTCACATCACCTCCACGTGCAGAATATCCAATATGGCATGAGTTGTGTGATACGTAGCGTCGTCCTGTTGAAACCACATGTCGTTGGTGTCCCGATCATTCAATTCAAAACAGAACACCTGTTTTTATGAGACAATTTTATTATTTGTTGAATGCTATGTCCCTCCATGGTGATTTGACAAAACATACTGAATAAATTAAATTGAATTTGACAGATGTAGCTTCAACAATATGGCCGTTAACGATTGTCAGAGTTTGAAAGTCCTTGTTAGAAGACCCGTTACATATATAATTCAATCTTGTGCCAACGATTGAGTTTTCTGTCGATCACAATGATGACGTATAAGCGCATACGTCCGTTCTCACTCACCCCAGGTTTGTCCTTTAAGAACAGTTGAGCCCAACACTTCAACTATGTTTTAATCTAGTTGCCTTATGGTGAAAGCTGCAGATAAAGACGAAAATGGATATTCGGCCGTCGATTTTGGAGCTCGCCTTATTTTTACACAGGATAATACAGCAATAGGGTTGAATCTGAAGATTTTTGATCCCATCTTTGCGTTCCAGCTTCTCGCTTCTTTTAGCAAGACTTTGTTATCTTCTTACAGTGAATGATATAGTTCTGCACGCGCTGAATGATTTTTAACAAGCAAGGCGCGGAAAAGTCAATTCCCACGACACTGACAATGATTGTTATTTAACTGAAGGTTATTTCACAATTCTCTATCAAGAAACCATAAACTATATATCTAAAACCGCACCACATCGATTTGAAATATAATTGCACTTCACTATTGTTATTATTAGTGTCGCTCGAAGGCCGTTCAAGGTATTTAAATAGCAGTTTTCGAGTAAACTGAAAGTTACGCGTCGTGACAGGTGTTTTGACCTATTGAATAAAAAATTAACGGGTAATCAAGAAAACGTAGTGTTTTGTTAAACCAAATCAACTACATTAGTTAATTTCTCTTCTGCGGTGAGTTTCTAAGTACATACACTTCAAACTCATGATTATCATGACATAGGTAGGCGCAAGATACTACAGAATTGTCAAATCTAGAGGAATCTCAGACCAAGAATTTCAAAAGAATACAATATCTCTATGCAGGAGTGAGTAGTAGAGAAAGTTACTACAGAAATAAAAGGAAGTACATTAGAATTGAAACCAAACAAATTATGATTTCCTTGATGTATACAAGAAAAAGTTATTTTCCATTACGAATTAACTTTTTGAATCGATTCACACCAACGGAATTGATATATTTTGTATTGTTCGAATCTAGGAAAGGAAAAACTTTAAATTGGTGAATTTTTTGCCATAAAACCGTGGTACTCACCATCTGACATATCCCCGCTTGAGGCATTGCTAGACGCTGTTTCTGGACGCCACTGCATCCGTAGATCTTCATCTGAATAGGCCGCTTTCCATATTTCTAACTGTGCGTGAAGTATCATGCCACCCTGTAGACAAAATAAAATGGAATGAATTATATGACGCTGCTACTAAAGCGACTAAAATTCTTATTTTTACTGCTCTAGCTCAGTCATTTTTTAGTTGTGAATAGATCAAATGAAAATCAACAGAGAAAATAATAGTTGTGAAATTATTTATTTGTCCTAAAAATTTGTTGTCAACTGCCTCGAATACAAAAATTAATAAAAAAAAACAAGTCAATCGTATGCCTTTTGGACTTTCAAATGCGCCCTCAGATTTTCAAGCAGTGTGTATTCATCTTAAAGTCTGTTAACGAAACAAATTTTTATATCTTGCTGCGATACAATAAAAGTGTTCTAGTGTTCATTCTGGAGGTTTTGAGGGAATTTTTTTATTTGTACATATTTCTTTTTCCAAAAAGACGGTTTACTCGAATACCCTTTGGGTTATCAAATACACCTTCAACATTGCACGGGGTGATTGTGTGTAATCATTAAATCTGTTTAAAATCTGTGTTTCCGTTAAACAGCTGTCGCACCCCTACGAACGACAACCCTCAGAAGTCGAAACATGTGCGAGCTAAGGACGAACGAGGTCTTACCTTTCAACGTGTGATTCTTAACACGGATTGGACGATAGCAAGTGAAAATTGATTGCTTAGCGTGAGGCTTGAACCAGCGACCAACACGGCGGTCGATTTGATATTGAGACAATGAATACCTATAGTTTGCTGCGCATTTCTGACGTATATTCTTCTCGGTGGAATCAAGCAGGTCAAGTCAGTAAACACTTCCCACAAAAGTATTTATGAAAGAAAGACAAGCCCCTAACCTTTCTGCGATGTTTCTAGCTATGATGGTTGCTTTCAATGTCTGGTTGTTCTGATTGGAGATGAAAACACAAAAAGTAGATCTTTTCTGAACGATCGATGACTACTCGTGACGAATGGCATTTAAGAAAGTTGAAAAGCTACTTTGACTTTGTTTCCGGAAACCATATCAATGGAAGCTTGGAATGTTGATGTATTCCCAGTGTGATTTCCGAATCACCGGTAGTAAAGCAACTCATCTATAAGTATTTCAAAAATATTTGTCATTTTTTTGTAGGCTAACTTTTCAGAGGCGATAGTTTGCTTATTTTATGAAATAATATCTTCTTATTTGAATTCATATTATTTGTACCAAAAAAAAACAATTTATTAGAATACCCTTTGGTCTATTGAATGGACCGTCAACAATGCAAGAAGTGATTGCCTGTTACTCTCACTTCCGCTTTGTGTTTGTCTTTAAACGAATCAAATACCTAATAAATGGTTTAGAATCTCATTCGAAATACTATAGTACTTAGACTTCCCGACATGTGATCGTTAGAAGATATTCTTTCTGCAATGTTTTCGCACCCTTGACATTTAGCAATGCGTAATTTCAAACCTCTGCCCAACCCTGCCGACTCACCTAAGCGAATGCAAAACCGTCAACTTCAACCTGAATTCCTAACTTGAGACACACACGAGAGCTCGCTTTGTTAGTCCGCGCGGGGCACAGATCTGTCCGTTTTCGAAAAAAAAAATTGATTTATTGCTACATAACTCGTATCGCAATGATAGGTTGGTAAAGTAAATAACAAAGTACTCTCAATAGTTGTGAAGGTCTTTCTTGCACGCGATGTTTCTGTATAGTAATGTACTACACCAGTGGCGGCGCGTTGGGTAAATCCTCAACATGGTAATACAATTCAAACGGAGGGTAAGTCTCTGAGTCATATAACTCAGATGGGATGTATGCTAACTAGTTTCATTTCGTGGAAGATTTCGAAGCTACTGAGGCTCACTATATATTTATAAATTCAGTGGAGGATTATGAACTTCCTAGGCTTGTTCAAAATGTCACATCGTCGTTCCAGGGCAACTAAAAGTCATTTTAGGTCTATGTATACGAGGTCTATTCAAATTTCGCGGGCTTCATACATTCGATTAGCGATTTTGTTATTTATTCATATAGAGGAAGATAGGTTAGGTGCACAAAATGCACGCCTCTGAAATATGTCATCTTTGTTTGTCTCATACAGGTAACAGATTTATTGTCCTTTATTAGCTATAACCGATGTTGCCAAATGGTGAAATAGAAACGAATCCCTTTAAATGTTGAATGCTTTATTTCATTCTTCTTTTTTAAGTATTTATATATTTTTTTAAAGAAAAAGGTTGAAATTATAAGTTTAAAATGCGTTGTTTAAGAGCTATTTTATGAAAACTACTTGATTTTCGTCAGGAGGAACATTCCTCATTATCAAATACGAGTTACTATCTGTTACTATAAATGTAAATGTAGTTGTAATCTGTGATTTGGAGACTGACAGCATCGAAAAGTTTGCGTTCAATGTATCGGTGTAAAAATATTTTGTTGAATTTTCTCAGTGTGACAATAGTTAAAAGAGAAATATTCTGATGAAACCGATTGAAAACGCTTTTTATCGATGGTAAATCTGTCCATCGAACAGATCGGCCCGCAGCAATGTCATCTCTCGTCCTTCGCATGGTCAAAGGGGGTCGAGGGGAGAGAGTCGGTCATTATTTTCTGCGATTACACATCTCTCGCGTCCATCGACCGACGGCCACGCAAAGAGAAAGTCTTTCGAGTGCGACCTAGTTGACCATTAAAATGCACAAGAATGCGATTTTACGCCATGTCGTTCTGCATCGACGGTGTTGATGTTGTTTTGATGAAATCGCCGTCGAATAGAAATTCGCCAGCGATTTGGTAATGATAGTAATAACGAGGCACGCCCACTAATAATAGTTTATTCGTCGCAGGAAGTAATAATTTTTTTTCCCGATTCAGTGAGAGAGGTTGCACTGGATTGCGCAATTCTTAAACAAAAAGTTGGGGAGCTGCTCTTTTAATCAACTATGGATAGCAAGTTCAAATCATTTCGAGTATTGTCTTTAGACGCATATTTGCTGATGTGATTTGCTTCCGTTGTGGAGAAAGTATTACTTTTTGCCAAACGGAAATAAAATGATTTAGAAATCAAATATCTGCGTCAGTTTACTTGATTCAAGGAGAAAAATGTGTTCTATCTGGAAGCAGACAAAGGCAATGAGGTTATGATATTGGACTGCAAGGGAGAACATCCAGCTAGTTTTCACGGGTGCCCAGAACGCCCCGAAAATAAGAAAAAGGCCTCAGATGGGCCTACAGACGAAAGACAGCCCCCAAACCCGAGGACAGTCGACCAGTCCAGTCGTATCAACTAGAGAAAATTCCTGCAACTCCCCCGAGGGTCTCCCAACGGCCCTAGGGCAGCTGCAGGAAATTTTCACGAAGTTTCCGGTTCTGCAAGCCATGCTCGCCGGAAATAAATAAAAAAGAACATGTCTTAACGACAAAAAAAGGATAACAGAAGACGCTGCGACTTCTGACAATTTGCTACAAGCTACAAGAAAGTGATAGAGACTTGTCCCTATCACCCTAACACAAGAAAAAAACATTGAACTAGACTAAAGAACAATTAGCTGAAAGGGTAGGGGGCCTTGATCATCAATAAGGTTAGTGGAAGAAAAAATCGACAGGAACACTGTAATAGAAAAACAAGAAGAGTCTCAGGTTGTCACAGGTTATTCTCTCTCCATTTGACAACTGACAATTGTGTAAGGTTACACTCAACAAACGAACAAATTCTGCAAGAGAACCGGCATAGATAAAAAACAGTTTCTGGAAAATTCATCTATGGTAAGGAAACATTTGGCCACCAGAAATTCTCTTAATGTTTTTCAAAACTGTAAAATGTTTTAGAACCTTTTATTTCTTCCGGTAGTAACTTAAACAGTCAAGGAGCCACAGCTTTACATGAATTATATTGTAATTGTGTATTACTGAGCGATTATAAATACAAACAGAACTCTAAAATAACCAATGACGGTAACGTTTAAATCTTTAGATTCTTAAAGTGATCCCTGCATGATGACCTTCTCGATATACCTACTAGCTGATTTACGAATGATTCGCTTTTGGGCAATGAAACGATTGCTGATGAACGAGATAATCCCCAGAATCATACTCCAAATCTCAGTCTGGAGTCTATCTGCGCATGATACAATTTCAGAAGTTGATCAATGTTCAAAACCAGTTTGACATTTCTGAATTGATATGAGTTGTTATTCAGTTTGGACTGTAGCATCTGACAGTGATTACTCCATGTACGACACTCATCCACGTGGAGACCTATGAACTTCACTTGAGAGACTGTAGGTATTGATATTCTTATTGAATTGATTAGAAATTATTGTTTTCACAGTGTTTCTGACGATTGTGGAATCGAAGTGAATTTGTGTTCAAATTTAAGTAATTTGCTCTGAACCTGCTAGATGGCTTCTACCTCTCATAAAAGCTGTTTCTTACAAGTAAGCATCGAGGGTTCCCTCTCAGATATCATTACCATCAACGCTGGTGTTCCACAGAAATTCATGATGTTTCCATCCCTGCTTCTATTGTATATAAATGACCTATTTGAAAGGACCAGACTTATAAGGACATATAACTTCGTTGACGACAGCATACTTTATCGTGTAGTCATGTACAACTTATGCTTATGATTTTGAAGGCAAGTTTAATTTATGATAAAATCAACAATACTCGATCGCTTACTTGACACGATAGTTACTACTAAAGTAAGAACACGTCAGATTTGTGCTAATGACTTGGGACAGTTTGTTCCATATAAATCTATTCGCATACAAATTGTATCTGAGAGTTTGTGTGGTGCCCCAAAGTAGCATGAAACCTATGTTTATTTGGAATACATGAAGCTAACTTTGCAATAGTTTATATTTCCTATTAGGGCGGTTCAGTAGAAATGCCGATTCCTAAATATGAATCTGTGACAAATATTTCTCTCAATCGTTTCATTACACAGTTTTCAATTTGATTTATTCCCTTTTTATATCGTCCTCTTCCCCACTTTATTGTATTTCACAATTCATATCATATAAACTTTGTTAAATGTGTTGAAATTAATATAATATGTTATTTTGTTTTGTGTGTTCTATGCCAAAGAACTGGCAACAATGTTTTTTTACTTTCTTGTGCTGTCAAAAATACAAGAATACATCAATTTATGTACAAACTGCATGACTTTTAATCTGCCCCAGTTTTCTTCCTAAAGTATAGTAATTAAAATAATAATTCAAGAGAATGTGCTTTATATCTTTATACTGGTTCTATCTTTATTATATTCTTGTTGATATTGTATATTATTTCAGATTTACCTCAGCAAAAGCAGAATCTATTTTATATGTGTGGTATATCTATAACCATGGAACACCAACTTATTTGAATTCTTTCCGAATATTCATGAAATTTTGTATATCTATCTTTCCATTATCGCTCTCCTGCTCTGAACGAACAGTTGCGAAAAACAGAATAATGGACTCGCAATACCTCAATAATTCACACTTTGTTACAAGAATAACGCACTCGAGATGACATCATCAGCAACTTTCAAAGCTTAGTTAAAGACGGAAATTTTCTCACGGTTCTGTTAGTACACGTTACCTCACATTCGATTTGTTTCGATTTTTTATGCCGCAAGGCTTACTCATGCTAGACCAAAATTATCCAGAAGTATTACTCATTCAATTTATTAATATGAATGAAATTGCCGATTTTGAACCGTAGGTCAAATCGATGACTATTTGTGTAGTTCTATGCCTTTTAACGATCACAGAACATATGAAATGGTAGCTAAACAAAAGAGATGACTAAACGGTAAATGCAATTTTATTTGTCTTGTACCCTGTTTATATTCTTCACCAGAGATTACCACCTACTCTTAACTGCTGTCTAGCATTGTCTGGCTTCGTTTGCAATACATTATCAACCAATAGAAGCACAAGGCACTACAATCCAGCGTTTGCCAAATGGCCTAATGACTGAATACCCGTTAGATTGCGAATGTCGTTTCTGCAGTCAACCTGTCGCCAATCCTCATTAGCTTTAATGGCGTTCTTTCGACATAAATGAAGATAGTAGAGAAGGGAATTGTACGCGGGATTGGATAATGCATATCGTGAGTAAGAAGTTCTGCGAAGAAAGTAATCATCGATCGAATAGTCAACTTTCAAAGTTTTCACGCTAATATGAAAACAAATTTGTGGCCAAATCACTGACTCACCACATCAAACTGTTGGAAATTAAAATGTACAAATGTGCCCATACTCGGATGCGTTTGGAAGATGTCTATCTCTAGTCTTCAAAGAGAATACGTCACTTTATTCAAGAGGGCGCTGTAAAATCCAAGGGAAACAAAGAATGTCACAATTTTTGTATCAGCATTGACATTTTTACGAACTATTTCAGAATTGAATTATGAGGCATGTCAAAGAAATACACGACTCAAAATATATTCAGAAGTGTACTAAAAACTTGATAGTTCTGATTTCTAAGTTGGGAAAAAACTACATCACCACTGTTGATAAATTATTGATGACCAGAATTGTTGACGAAATAATTCTGTAGTTTGAGCAAGTATTTGAGAAACAATTATTTGTTTACTGTTTTCAAAATCCTTTGACTGTACTTCTGGTAGTATCTAAGGTATATGAAGACCGACTTTTCAAGCTATTGCTTCCTGCAGCGATATCTATGTCTATGATATTTGTACTCACCTGGGGAGCCCTACTCGTGAAATCTTCTTCTGGTAACGCCACTAATGCAGAACCTGGCATATCCCACTGTTCTGGCATAGGTTCAGGAAGGCTGAACTGTCTAGAGGTCCACCTGATCCAAGATAACACACTGGCGGAGTCCCACTGTGATGGATCTGGAATAAAATGACCAGTCTAAAAAGGAACGATGTGAAAAAGGTTATGGTTTTTTTTCTGGCAGAAAGTGCCAGACAAGAAACTAATTTGGATTGTAAAAACAATACAGTGCTTTTAGCTGCTTTTTGGGATATTGAGAAATAGTTATCAAGGCGTTGAAAAGAATAGGTATCGACAAAGGATAGAACACATTCTTCTAGGAAGATTGGTTCCAGAACCAATATTGGGGAAAGAAAAGTTACACTTCTAGCTAAAGAATACGAGTTATATGTCTTCTACATCATAATGAATATAACCAGCTGTTGGAATAGCAAAATATATATTATGAGATCAGATTTGGAAATGGGTATATAATATATTGAGAGTTCGGGGAAAATACATCCAAGAAAACACATGGGAAACCTTTTTATAGAGACCATCTGAGAAAAAAAAACTGATGAACTGTGCCAACGGAGCAAGGATTACTTCGAAACAATCAAAGGACTACTTCCAGAGTGGAGGATATCCAAACAAAATGTCTGCATTGTCTGCACCATAGTTGAAAACAATGCAGCAAAGTTCTAGAGACAGCTCGTCATATTCTATGTGAATATAGGGCACTGGAATATGACACAAGCATCTAGAAAAATACCCGCATGAACGAATACAAGAAATGTTGGATCAAGTGTCATGTGGAGAAAAAAAAATGATGCTGCAGTCATTTCCGGATATTCGAAAGAAATTTACAAGTCAGAACGTAAAAATTAATCAGTCATTCAGTACATCAGACATGCCCAGATATTTGAAACAGAAGGTTACACCAAATGTGAGTAATGTAGAATCTAGAAGTCCCAATTGAAATTCTTCTCGTCTTTCGAAAAACATAGACACCGCTCAATCTGAATTACTCTGTAAAAGTCAGCACTTTTCCGAACTGGATCAATTCCTAATTAGATCGTTATCGGTCCTAGCATAGATCGACGGATCAACGAGACACTATCGGTACGAATCAGAGGCACTCCTTGGAAACATAACCTTCAAATCGTACCATTCGTCTATTTGTAAACAACTTTACATTCACCCACACGAACAGTTCTGCTTCAGGGTCGGAATTGTCGATTCTCAGATGTTTCGAGGTCGAAACAGCACAGATTCCGACAAAAAATCTCCGTTGCCTAATAGCCATTATCTGTCATAGACAGATAATTTGTTGGAATTAAATGTCGGGGTTTGATAGCTTACGATTCGTGAGCTGTGTTAATATTTTATTCGAATGTATTACCTCGTGCAGGGTGTGTCACTTGGTTTTCTTTGTTGGAGCATGTAGGTACGAAATTTTATTACTCAGTAAAAAAGCTGTAGGGTAAAAAGCATGGACTACTCTTCCCTTAGAACTTCTACTTTGACAGTGCTATAAAGATCCATGATAAACATCTCTTTTGTTGTTTTCTCTGGCCAGCAACAGTACTGAATGAATCAGTGGTCAGAATAGATTAAAAAAGGGCAATTATTCTATTTCCTTTACAGTGGCCATTTCGACCACCCGATATGACACTTCTAAAACTTTTCCTCACATTTTTAAAATGGATTTTTGAAAAAAATGCCTGAAAGTGTGTTTTAAATATAGGAAATTCCAAGCAAGATTTTACGCCGCATTAGGATACAAAAAACAGGGTGTGGCAATATTCAAGGATAGTTTTCTGCTCTGGTATGTTGATCTTATTTATTGTTGAATATTTTCAGATATGTACATCAATTAGAATATGGTATTCCTAGGGTGGGGCCTCGGGTTTTTTTATGCAAATTCACTATTAATAGATCGACTTTTATCATAGCTGACAAGAATGGGAATCGTCATTTTTTATCGGAATGTAAATCGTAATGGACTAGACTGAGCGTTTATTAGTTCAACATTTCAAAATAGTGTTTTTGAAAAAAATTATGACAGGAGGAATGTATAATTAATGTCTTGATCTTGCAATTAAACTTTCTAGATATTAAAAGTTGTAATTTTTTGGTTATACAGTTTTTATTTTTTTAACGCAATAAAGATCGACTGAAAAACATCTGATAATTAGTTTTGATGATAATACAATTTAATAAATTCTGTACGATTGTAAATCCAAGATGGCCGCAACTACAAAATGAATGATTACATATACTGAGGCCCTAAATGAACTAAACAGAATGAGAAGAATTGAATAACAAAATTAGACACTTAAAACTTGAAAATAAAATAAATATTTTTTTATTTTCATGATAAAAAGTGCTCTAGTTTTAGTGTTTGGCAAGAGAAAGTGTACTATTTACGAAGCATAAAAACTCAAAGTCGTCTCCACAATTTATTATCACCCTCAGATGGTAGAACGGTAAAACCATCAATCAGTACGTGTTTCAAACCTATATAGGTTCATAATCAGCTTATTATTTGAAAATTATGGTTAAGAAAATTTTATAATGGAGAAAAGCAAATTATCACATGTAACCAATGAATAATTGGTCACAATGACATGTTAATAGTAATGAAAATTTTATATTTAGTAATACGAAGGAAGTTAATACTACTGTACTACTGAGAATTAGTACTACTACTGTTAGTAGTACTGTGTACTACTATGTACTAGTAATTAATTTTTTTCTTATGATAAAAAGTGCTCTAGTTTTATGTGTTTCACAAAAATATGTGTTCTAGTAATCATTTTATTCTCGTTATAAAAACTGCTCCAGTTCTACTTTTCATAAGAAAAACTGATTCTGGTTAATTTTTGTTTCATGATAAAATGTGCCCTATTTTCAGTATTTCGCAAGGGTAAGTGTTCTAGTAATGTTTTTTTCTCACGATAAAAAGTGCTCTAGTTTTAGTATTTCACAAAAAAAAGTGTTTTGGTAATCATTTTATTCTCGTTATGAAAACTGCTCCAGTTCTACTTTTCATAAGAAAAACTGATTCTGGTTAATTTTTGTTTCATGATAAAAAGTGCCCTAGTTTCAGTGTTTCGCAAGGGTAAGTGTTCTAGTAATGTTTTTTTCTCACGATAAAAAGTGCTCTAGTTTTAGGTAAAAGTCCTGGCGAATATTTTTCCTTATTATAAAAACTGGTCTAGTTCTAGTTTTCATAAAAAAAATATATTCTGGTTCAGGTGAATTATGTTTTTTTTAAGATAAAAAGTGCTCTGGTTTTATTGTTACGACAGGAAAAGTGTACTAGTATTTTATTTTTTCTCATCACAAAACTGTTCTAGTTGTTTTCACAAGAAAAACTGATTCTGTTTCAGATGAATTTTCTTTTTCTCGTGCTAAAAAACTCACTCTTCACACCTATCATCATTATTATTATATTAATTTATGGACTACAAACGCTATACGATAACGCAAAACAGTTTTCTATGTATTATTAGTGGTTATACTAATAAATATGTCGGTAATAATTTTGAATTCTGCGTATTGCGAATGGAAGTGTGAATAACTATAATTTTTATTCAAACAATAAGAGTACTTGAGTGGATCTTGAGGTAGTATGCAAATATAGCGAAGGTCATTCGTGTATCGAGTGAATGTACTCAAGGAAAGTGTTGTAGAAAAATAAAATTCTGACACTGTTACGAGGGTTGACTATTAAGACTCACAAATAACCTATAGATGGCGCTACAGAAATGTGGGATCACGGTTTTCCCAAAATTCTCATGTTTCCTTAGAAACATCGGCTGTTTAGTTTAGTATGTTGACAGTGAAAGACTGGGAAAAGCGAGAATATCAAAAAATAAATTAGATGTGGAAAAAATGTTCAAACTGTGGATTCTGCACAATTTGACCGATGCTACGCTTGAAATAAGCTAAAACGTGGCCTTTTCTTCGTCATGGCAACTGCTTCCACATGACATATCAAACAATTGATTGTTTGAAAGATATAAACATCGACTTACTGCCCATATTCTCCTGATTATCATATAGCTACTTTTTATGTTCCCAATGTCGAATGAGAAACGTGGACAGCAATTCAGTGTACAGGTATTAGCAAACTACTCACCTGCTGATATTCCTAAAGTGGTGCAGGTATTGTCAACATCCTTCCTCATCTGCTCAATGGCCATATTCAGCACCGGCTCGATGCTAGCTTTGGCAATCTCCTCGTTGCAGCTCCTCAACAAGTCATCGGGCTCTTCCATTTTGATGTCTCCGCCCAGAAACCCAAAATCGATCGGCTTGATATTGAACTTCCTCTGGAAACTGGTGTCCTTCAAAACTTCCCTCAACAGCTTGTGGTCTTTGGGCTTCCCAGCGTCGTCACACTTCTTCAAGTCCTTCTCCAACAGCTGTCGAAGTGTCTCTGTTTCTTTGTAGCTCTGTCCAAAACCCTCAACAGCTTCTTCCTTTATCTGTTTTTGTGCACCAACCCCCTCCAGGAGCGTCAGTACGTCTGTATCGTCGATGGAAAGACAGAGATGTTCGGGGGAGTACGAGCAAGGGCTCTTCGATAAGTGGAAGCCCTCTTCTTTTATCTTGAAGGGTGCGAAAGTCGGCAAAGGGGATTCTTCTGTCTTGATATACTGGGTCTGATTCTCGTCCCCTCTGGGAGACGTGGAGTAGACCGAACTGGGGGACGCAGTGTACAGCGACTGCTCGGGGGAGCTGGGGTAGAAACTACCCTCCGACTGCCTGTAGCTGGTGAAATTCTCGTTAGGGGACAGCAACCCCTGGGACTGTGGCGAGAAGGGAGAAAGTGCGCCCGCCGCTGTACTATTCGGGCTAGGCACCTCCAAGTATATATTAGGGTACGTCTTGTTTCCTTCTGGTACCAGAAGGGTTTGGAAATCTGGCGCCAACTCTATATCGCTCTCCGCCTCCTGTGGTGGGGAGGAGTAGGCTTCTTGGGGAGAAGTGGGGTAAACGTCCGAGGGTGACGTGGGGTAAAACGTGGCGAAGAGTTTAGGCTGGGCCGGTTTCTCTATGTCAAAATGGGTGTAAAAGAGCGTCGAAGGGGAGACAGGTTGGTCACCTCCCGGGAGGAGCGACAGGTCGAAGTTGTCTGCGAAGGAGGTGTAGTCACAAGGAGGGGTGAACCCAGCTGAAGGCACAGTTTGAGGCATCTGGAAAAATAAAAAGTGTTAGTGTATGTAATAAAAACCAAAAAGTTTCAGGAGGGGACTTTTTTTGACCTCAATGTATTTTTTTACACGTTTCTCGAGTAAGATCGAGTGGAAGCACATATTTTTCCGTATTGAATAAACTATTGAAACAGTTATATTTAGTGTCAGTGTATTTGTTCTGGTTGTTGCCTTATAATGGACAATGCACAAATTTTTTTAACAAATATAGAGGTTGAAAAACAACTACGGCTTTTCTCAATTTTAGAAAGTATTTAAAACAATTATACCGAATATACTCAAATTTGCATAGTAATGGCAGATGATGAGAAAGAACAATAAAATAATAATAATTCTTCTTCTCATCTAGCGCTAAAATTATTTAAAGATTCAATACTCAAAAGCTTCTCTAGGAGTGGAAAACCGCCAGAAGAAACGATAAAAACTCGCTAAAAATGTCGACGCATCTATCATCGAAAATACGGCATAATCGATTGTTTGTTTCTCCAAGAAATTCCGCTTCCGAATTTAACCAAGCGAATTGACTTATATATCTTTATTAATATAATCCAAGTTTAAATTTAGCTTCGAACGTCTAAACTTTGCTCTAATCTAAACATTCGTGCTGTAACATGTGGCTAGCAGACGTCACAGAATCATATGATAATTTTTTTCCCGGTCGTCGCTCTTTTGGTGATTCCCAAATGAGGAAATCTAAACAATCACGTCGGTGGAAAGAAGTTTTGGAAAATATCACTGATCCCGAGTGAGAGACCCGAGTTTGGTGAAACACACTTGCGGGGGCTTACACCGGATATTTGGAAACAGGTCAATAGGGGTCAGGTTTGGATTGAGAGGAGTGAGTTCCATAAGAATGCATCGTTTTCACGTCATTTCGTTAATGAATAGAATCGAGCTGGAGGTCAAACATTTATAGAATCAATTCTAAGATTTCGACAGAATGTTTGCAGGCTGATCCAAATTGAGCGCTCATGAATAGTAACTTGTAATTATTTTCGAAAATTCAAAAGTTTCTAAGCTGGTCAACTAGTACCATTTTTTCACGATTCAAAAAACAAAATACAATTAAACGATTGAGTTACGAATGTTTTCACTTCTCGCGTGAACAGTATAAATATTTTTATAGGAAATTATAAAAAGTTGTTCTTATTTTTGTGAAGTCAAAAATAAATCAGTTATTCGAATACATATTCGAACAAATATGTTATTTTTTCTCAGTATGTCACTCCTGACATCCGTCTCCCTCTTCTGTACATTTTTCACACGTTACTTGAATCGGGTTTTCAGCCTACCATTGGAAGTTTATAAATTTTTATTCTACTGAGTAAGCAGTTCATAACAGCATAGCGTTTTTTATAAATCCCATTTTGCAAACCCATAGAAAAAAGTCAAGGGAGATGAGGTCAGGAGCCCTGGAAGGCCATGAAATAGGGTAATGCGTTTCTTTCCAATTTTCACTGAACTTTGCCATGATCAGCTTATACAATCTTTTATTAGCGGGGATCCATCCTGTCAAAAATCCAGATCTGTGCCTACTGTTGAGTCATGCAAGAAATTGCAAAGAATAGCAGTCAACTCTACATGTTCTGCACGATATAAGTGATCATAAGAACTGGCCAAAAATTCCTTATTTTGGAATGAACAGTAATACTGAAACATACTTGAATGTTTCAGAAAAACCAACCTGCTTTGGAAAACATTACTGAAATCTTGTTGAAAATTGTAGATAATGTTTGTCGTATATTGGTCAATCCATACGACCCATACATACTGGATTCAATGAACATATGATCTATATTTCTGTGGAAAACTCCTTTTTGGGAAACCTCAAATGCTTCAAACAGAGAAGTCCATGACTTTCTTCTTCTTCTTCATCTTCTTCTTTTGTTTGGGAAACCTCAAATGTTTCAGACAGAGAAGTCCATGAATTTTTTCGTCTTCTTCTTCTTCATCTTCTTCTTTTGTTTGGGAAACCTCAAATGCTTCAGACAGAGTAGTCCATGACGTTATTTGTATCGATTCTTGAAGATATAAATGTAAAGTGGTTATCAATTCAACTTTGTGAGCTAATATTCGTTGCGAGAAGATCACTTCTACGGCTCGATTGTTTTATGCTCTTAAAATACACAGAATAAAGCTATATAGAGTACAAACCTCTCGACAAAAATATTTCATAGTTAAATTCGCTACAAAAAACATGAACCGGTATTAGCATTTCTCAAATAAAAACATTCGAAATCTAATCTGATGTGTGCATATCTCCTAATTGTATTTTTCATCAAACAAATGAGTCATTTAGTTGGTTCAGCTAAGCTAGAGGATAGGGCTATTTTTACCGGCGACATTGTGAAGGACATTGATTTTTTTT